TATGAAGTTTTCCCATATTCCTTAGATGTTTACATATTGTTTCATGAGAGACATGCAATTTCAGGAACATTTCACAAGTGTGACTAAGGTGACGTTCAGACGGTTCGTTTAACTATTATACGTGGTGTACGTTTTTTGGGGATGGTTAATGAAAGTGTTCCAAAACGCGACATGAATTTCTTGACTACCTAGTATAAAACAAATTCTAAACTCCTGTAGGAAAATATTGCATACAAATGAGCTGTTGTATACCCTTCCTAAAACGATCAATTTCCGCTGGCATCACGTTACTCACGAACACAAAACAATGTCAAAATGTAGTTTTAATACATGTTGTTCCACCACAACTTTATATCGGCTGTATTTGTGACGTAAGTTGCTGATTTGCTTATTCAAAATTGTTTTAATATAACGTATTCGACCTTTTCTATAAAAACAAAGCTATTCATTTTATTTTTTACAGAAACTATAATAACCTAATACTGCAGTTTCGTTTACTGCTTGAAACTATTGGTCTTAGGTTTACTAATGATCATCGTAAGACATAAAATTGTAACATACAATTTGTATATTAGTATAAAAATATATTATTGAGAATTCCTTCTACTAGATTTTCAAAAGTTAGATCAGTAATATAGCAACCTTTATTTATTTTATTAAAGTACTTAAACATATTTGAAATTAGTCATATATTTAAATAATTATGAAAATCGAAACTACAACACAATGAGAAAAACAAAAATGTTGAACGAGGGATGATTATAAACACATGCAAATATTTTTGGTTCAATTTGGTTAAATAATAATATTAGACGCAAAGCAAAATTATACCTTTGTATATGTAAAATGTTTCTTAACTTAATTAAGCGATAATATTATTATCAACTGGCAATAAGAAGTAAGTAATATATTACATTTTTTGTTATAACATAGAATAGGAGTATGTGAACAGTCTTACAGATTTCTTTCTTTTAATGTTAATATCAGAACATACAGTGAAGTTATAACTTACCAAATATTTGTTAATTAACTTTAGAAATTTAATAGTGTTACCTACTTTTATGATTGTGATGTTCACAATGCATGTTCTCTTACGACTAGATATACGGCTACTTCGGTAATTTGATGGTGGTCTACCCATCAGCGTTTATGTTTACCCTCTTCTTTGAATCTCCATTTCTATCACTTGAGAAATTACTGTTGACAAGGTTCACAGAGAAAAGAGGGATTCAACGCTTTACCTAGTGAACAGAAATAGCGAAGGAAGAGTAGAGCTAACATCATGCTCGAAGACCAAACCTCCAACACGCCATGTGGAAGAAAAATGTCTCTTCGTTTCATCAAAACTTTCTGTATTTTTCTGATTCTTTTCGAGACGACATAAATTGACTTTAAGAATATTTTGAAGCATTACGTAGTTGGTAACTTAACCTCTCAAATTATTAGCTTGTTCTTAAACATTTCACTACTGGCGAGGTCTACATAAAGCAATATATTGATTCATTTCAGTTGCGAGTTTTGTATACAATGTAAAATTCCTCAAGAAATGATTAACCCAAAAATATCGTGTAAGCGAAGTTTTCTGCACATCAATTCTATTATTTATTTTAACTGTGGATTACTTATTATGTAGCTTGTTTACCTCGGACAATAGCAGTCACTATTTATTTATTGGTTGTATTTATCATATTTTCTGTAATAGGTGAGCTGTGTTAAATTACGAAATCAATTGTATGTTTTATACTATTCTTCAACAATATGTTGTTTGTCCGTATTCGTATAATAAATTATATATGTTACTAGCAACGTTGCCCGGGTTTTCTAAAAAAAAACTACTGTCTCTGTTTCCCCGTTCCATATTTCGATAGGTAAAAAATATTTTGTGAATTTATGAAAAAACAACAACAATCTTATGTTTGATTTTTGAAAATAAACTACGAACCTGTTTTAAATCAAGGCTTCTTTATGAAAGATGTTTTGTTTTTTTCTCCCTTCACTTGCAAGGATAAATAGGCCCTTATTGTTCCTCACTCTTGAGCATCTAATGTAGAGTTGTCCGTGTGAAAAACATGGTGACGTCAATTCAAGTCCCACTAATTTCAAGAAACTGGTCCTGTGCTTTGTTGATTAACATCACAAAGCTTAATATGACTGGGAATTGCACTCGAAGGGGAGATCGTTGGAATTAATGGGATACATGGGATGAAAGCATGTTCCCCTTTGTTGTTACCAGTAATCGTAGATTCAAGTACATATGGTAATAGTGTCTTTACTACCACTACCAGTCTTGTACCTTTGCAAAACCGAGGTAGGTCCAGGTTTCGTATAACTATAGCATGATGAGAGCACCTTTTTTCATGTGATAAAATACATTCGCTGACTAGACTTTAATATCATTTTACACAATAAGTATTATAATATAGGCTTTACTCATTTCACGTACTCTATTTTATGTTAAACAGCACAATTTTATTTTATAGGCTAGGCCTACTGTTTCTCACACATAACATTCAAATTCTACAAAAATTTATTTTGTATGTGAGGTTAAATATACGATGCATTATTAGATGTATAATTCATAATCTATAACTAAATAGGCCTGTCTGTTCTAATACTAAAAGAAATACAATTTCCATGTTCAATCCATCTTCTACCTCATGCAAGCGCTCTACCACTACAGTTACGCTAACAGTAACATGACTAAATTTAATCTCATTGTACACAATAAGTATTATAATTTAAGCCTAAGTATTTTCGCGTAGTCTATTTTATGGTAGACAGCATAATTTTAATTTATAGGCTAGGCCTACTGTTTGCTTTTTCACACACAACGTTCTAATTCTGCATAATTTGTTTTAAATATATATATATATATATATATATATAATTAATTATCTCTAAGACTCTTAAGTATAAGTAACTAAATAGGCCTATCTATTATAATACTATATTCTAAATTAAATGTTAACTCAAACTTGCCCAAAAATTTGAAGTCTGCGTAGAATCACAACTGTGTAAAACAAATAACTCGCAGTGTATTCATTATCAACATATAAAAACATGAAATTACTTTAAACTGTAAATAATTGTAATGTATGCGTTTCGGCTAACACTAGCAGACGATAGACGCGTATATCAACGAAAGATTGTCATTTTGCCTACCTTCACCGTTCACGTGAGGGATGTGTGTCCTGCGCAGTGAATGCGGCGGACAAACAAGCAAGCAGAGATATTTTAAGTTTTATATGTACATAAAAATAACATTTATGGTGATTTTGAGGACGTTTTAGCTCGCCATATAGTAACCTGAATTAGTTTATCTATGTGAATGATATTATTCCACTGCGCTTAATTTGTTATTCGATATTATATAACGGACCAACTGTTTAATGATTATATTACAGACTTCCTCCTCCTCCTCCTCTCCTAATAGGAATTTAGGTCTTTGTGACCTAGGAGGGTCAGGTACTCTGAGACCTCTTCCTCCCTTCCGAACCATGGTAGGTCGTTCTTGAATGTGGAGTGTTAATACTGCAAGAGGGTCGGAGTAAACCGCATTTGCTCCGACCCCTTTCAGGGCAATGTCCATGTATGTATCACAGTCACATTCTGTGTTTTGCATCGCTTATACAAGTCCATAATGCAAATTACACATTTCACTAGTTAGAGACTAATTGAACATATTTTACATATAATGCCCTTTAAATATGTTATTTTTAGTCTCTAACTAGTGAAATGTGTAATTTGCATTATGGAC